GCTCCTCATATGACTTGTGTTCCAGACCCCTCACCAGCTTGGTTGCTCTCCTCTGGACATGTTCCAGCAACGCAACATCTTTCTTGTAGTGAGGGGCCCAAAACTGAACACAGGATTCAAGGTGTGGCCTCACCAGCACCAAGTACAGGGGCACGATCACTTCCCTACTCCTACTGGTCACACTATTTCTGATACAGGCCAGGATGCCATTGGCCTTCTTGGCCACCTGGGCACACTGCTGGCTCATATTCAGCCGGCTGTCAACCAGTTCAACATACTCTGTAGGAAAAGAGATCCAGTATATGGGGAGATTATGTGCCAGCTGTTCACAGCAGGTTAACAACATAGGAGGAATCATAGTTAAGTGCAAAGGTAAATAATCGGCCCATCAATCCAGCCTGTCCAGGTCTCTCTGCAGAGCCCTCCTCCCCTCAAGCAGATCAACACTGCCACCCAGTTTGGTGTCATCTGCAAATTTACTGAGGGCACACTCAATTCCCTTCAGGACGCACAAGGGTCTGGTGCACCATGAGGTGCAATTTAAATTCCTCATGTCCACACGGTGGGCGTAGCCAAGAACTAACTATCCCCGGGCATCTCAGCCAACCGGGCAGTTAAAACATTTGGATGTTTCTTACAGAGAGGATTAAAATGCTAGGTCATATATTAATGAGGGAGCAGGTTATAAACCCATCTCAGCTTGAACACCGTGTTCATGTCAAGAAAACCAAAGCAAGAGCAGGACAGATCAAAAGAGAGCCATTAAAGGCGTGAGAAAATGGTGCTGCCATATAAGGAGCCAATAAAGTTAGCAGCTCTCCAGTTCAGAGGGGGGGGGGGAAATAATAAAGAGGGCAGAGGAATCAGAAACATCCTTGGGGTCCACACAACCAACCAGAGATGGCCTCACTTCGAGGAGGAAACATCAATAATAGAATCATAGAATGTTTTGGGTTGGAAGGGACCTTTAGAGGCCACCCAGTCCAACCCCCCTGCAGGGAGCAGGGACACCTTTAACCAGATCAGGCTGCTCAGAGCCCCGTCCAATCTGGCCTTGAGTATTTCCGGGGATGGGGCCTCCATCACCTCTCTGGGCAACCTGTTAAGCGAGCTTGAAAAGGCAAGCTCATACGTTTTTAACACAGCATCTTACCCAAGTGGTGGAGCTCGCTGCCACGTGTCGCTGGGCCTGCTTGCCAACCATGTAAAAAAAGCAAAGATTAGATACCGAACCGGGCCAGCAACCAGAGCTGTATTTGCCAAGACCCCAACTTCCTCGGCTCGGTTCGGGCTTAGCAATGGTGCTGCGTTTTGTGCTCACAGCAGCACATGGGGGCAGGAGGCATTATGCCTCTCCCTGTACTTGGGGACACCAGCCAGCTACATCGACTGGGGACTCGCACGGATCAGAGCGGTGGCATTAGCGGCACGCAGTCATTATCCCCATCAGCGTCGAGCACGCGCCCAGCTTGCTTTGGTTTTTGGGTTTTTACAGAAAATCAGTAGGTTACCCAGACAAGAGCCCTCAGCCGTCACCAGCAACACTGGGAGCATTTCTTTGTTTGAGCTGGCCGGCTCCAGCCACCATCTTGTCATTATAAAATGTATTTACATGCCTTTCCTGCTCATTGACTATATTTATTAAAATGACAGTATGGCAGCTGAATATCAAATTGCCAGCCAGGCTTTTATCTCCTCTTTAAACCAGCCTGAATTACTGGCCTAATTTTATTGCTTACCCATTAAGTTTTATGCAATAGATAATTTTCTCCAAGAAGAAATTGGTGCTGTTTGATATTTGGGCTCATTTGTTGCCAAGACAGAGGGGATCAGCTTACACACCAATAACACTGCCCGGTTCTGGATCCTACACAACACAACGTATAGGATTCGTATTAATAAATGGATTTCGGTTCTTTCCTCTTTGAGAACAAGCACTCCAAATCGTCATGACGAGATGACTCTGACCAGAAACCCAGTATTTAGTAATTTATTTTTCAAACGCTCTTC